TATTTGTGACAGACTTTTTAGTCACACACTATTTTCCAGCATTACTTAGTTCAACTTTTTTTTCTATATCTCCCTTCAGTGTGGATAAGTCACACATTTGTAATACAGTTTTAATACTTAGTCAAAGTCTGCCTAAACGTTTAATTTTCATTTTCAATAAAGTGTTTTTATAAATATTTGCATGGAAGTTTCTAGGAACATATGGTTTCAGTTTACATTTAATTTTTTTATATGCACAACAACTGTTGTGGCATTTTGTATTTCTTCATTTGTGTCATTTAACAGAATGCCACAGACTGAGTTATTGTTTGTTTGTTTTTGAGTTGGAGTCTCACTCTGTTGCCCAGAATGCAGTGCAGGGCACGCTCATGGCTGCCACAGCCTGGACCTGCTGGGCTCAGGCGATCCTTCCAAGTAGTTGCACTTCGCCTGGCTATTTTTTTCAAATCTGTTTTAGAGATGATGTCTTGTCAAGTTGCCCAGGCTGGTCGAACCCCTGGTCTCAGGCAGTCCTCTCGTCTCTGCCTCCCAAAGTGCTGGGATTACAGGTGTAAGCCACTGCTCCTGGCCCACAGACCGGGTAATTTATAAGGAACAGAAATGTATTGGTTCACTGTTCTAGAGGCTGGAAAACTCACAGTCCAGTGGCTGGCAATGGATGAGACCTTTGTTTCTACATCATTCCGTGGTGGGAGGGCAAAGAGAGGATGAGAGAGAGAGCAAGAGGGAGCAAACCTACTTCTGCGTTAATAAATGCATTCATTTAATAATGGCATTAATTCATTCACGAGGGTGGAAACCTCATGACCCAAACATCTTTTTTTTGTTAATGTTAGTTTTAATGTTAGTTTTTATTTCTTACTTTCTAATCTACATTCTTTTTAAATTTTTTATTTTAAAGATGTGGGGTGCAATTCAGGGTTAGTTATACAAATGTTCATTATGCAGGTACCCTTGTTGATGAGGTATGTCCCCCTCTCCTGGCAGATTCCCACTACTGCCAATCCATTTTTACAGTATTACAAAAATCGTTCAAGGTTCACTTATAAGTGAGAACATGACACACAGTTCTTTGGTTCTGTAATAGTTCACTCGGTATTATAGACTCTAAGTCCATCCAAGTTGTTGTAAAGTTTTTAATATTGCCCTTCTTTATGGCTGCATAATCTTCCATTGTATATATGTACAGGTCCCATCTGCCAATACCATCACAATGGCAAATCAATTTCAACAGGGTTGGAGAGGAAATATTCCAAACTTAACATATTTTCTCCATTGATCTGCCTTTCCATCTTTCACAAAATTCAGATTATTATCTACACATGGGTCAACTTCTGCATCCTGTCACCCATTCCATTTATTTGTCTATCTTTCCTTCACCCATACTGTTTTGATTACTATATGTGATGGTAATGCATAAAACCAGTAATGTACGTGCTTCAACTTTATTCTTTTTTTTTTTTTTTTTGAGTTGGAGTCTCACTCTGTCGCTCAGACTGGAGTGCAGTGGCCGCTCCCGGCCACCGCAGCCTCGACCTGCTGGGCTCCAGCGATCCTTCCTCCTCAGCCTTCAAAGTAGCTGGAACTACAGGTGCGTGCTACCATGCCCGGCTAATTTTTTGATTTATTGTAGAGATGCGGTCTTGCCAAGTTGCCCAGGTGGGTCTCGAACCCGCGGGCTCAGGCAATCCACTCACCTCAGCCTCCCAAAGCGCAGGATTACAGGCTGAGTCACCGAGCCTGGCAGATTATCTGATTTTAAAAGAGTAGTATATTTTATACTAGCAAAACTTTCATTTTCATTGTCACGTAAGAGTGGGAGAGCAACCAGTAAGGAAGAAAGTATTTCATTTTGTGCATTACAAAAAAAAATCTAGTGTTGGCAGGTCTATGCCCAGCTGTTTATGAATAGAGCTAAGATTGATCTTGTGCTTTATAGTACAAGTCTATCCACACTTTTACACCTCTGAATTCCCAATTCAAGAAGAACCATTCTGTGTCTCTTCATACCTAGCAGTGTATATAAGAGAGCCAACAATGCACTGGCCACTCAGTATATCAGTTGTCAGACTGAAATTATGTTTTCTTTCAAAAATAACTTTAATTAGATGCACATTTTACTTGCTTGTTCTAAATATGGCAAATCACAGAAGAAAGAAAATTCATGTAAAGTGCTCTGGCATATTGTGAGCACTTTCAAGGTAACTTAATAACACTTCATAAAATTTTAATTACAGCACTATAATTATTTGGTTGATAACTTTCAGTTTGCTGTCTCTACCCCCAAAATAAGTTACCATGTTATTCAGTTTATGATGACCATTGTTAACACAGGAACTGATACAAAGTTAAGACTTTTTTATCTAATTAATCAATTTAATTAGATAAAAAAGAGTCAAGCTGTGCCTTTTGTGTTAGAGCTAGGCAAGTTTTATTTTTCAGTTCTGGGCACGTGATAGAACATATTTATTATAAAATAATTGCAAGTTCCAATGCTTTGCATATGTGCAAAAAGCCACCTATGAGGAGAATGAGAAGGATTGGGAGAGGACTAACACTGAATTCATTTCTTGTATCAGGCATTGTCTTAGCAGGGTTTTACCATTGCTTTAATTTTATTTTTAGATCTCTGTGAAATAAGCTCATTATATGAGCTAGGTTTTTGCAGGACATGAAACTAGGATGTAAGGAACGGTAGTAGTGGCTTTAAAGCCACATCCATCTAAGTTTGAATCAGTTACACTTATCTGTAAATCTGGTCAAGTTACTTGACAAATATATCTTCTTTTTTTAACTTTAAAATTTTTTTATTTTAAAATTGTGGGGTACATTTCAGGGCTAGGTATACAAATTTTCACTGTGCAGATACCCTTGTTGATGAGGTGTGCCCCCTTTCCCCAGGCAGATTTCCACTACTGTCAATCCCACCCCCCCACACTCCATCCCCCTGCAGTATCCCGCTACTGTCAATCCTTTCTTATAGTATTGTGGTGGTTGTTCAGGGTCTACTTATGAGTGGGAATATGTCATACACAGTTCTTCGTTTCTGTGAAAGAGCACTCAGTATTATAGACTCTAATTCCATCCAGGTTGTTGTGAAGTTCATGATTTTGTTCTTCTTTATGGCTGCATAATATTCCATTGTGTCTATGTACCACTTTTTTTTATCCAGTCCTCTTTTGATGGGCAGCATGGTTGGTTCCATGTTCTTGCGAGATCCAAACTTCTTTTGAATACTTTCCCCATAATTTCATCCTTATTATTTCTAGCTCATCTATACATATTGACAGTGGTATGTCCAAAAGTACAGACTTCTGATTTTACACTGGATTTAAATCTTGACTCTTCCTCCTATTAGCTGTGTAAAATTGTAGAGCATCACATAACTATAAATTCTCATTTGCCTTTATGGTAAAATAATTATAATTTTCCTAAACGTACATGCAGAGGAGGACCAAAACTCTCACAGAATTTATTTATAAAACTAAAAATGTTTATTTATTCTTACATATTTAAACTTCAGTCACACTCAATGTACTCTGTATTTGATACAATACACCTATAGAGACACTTTTTCCACTACTCCAAACAGTTTTGGAACTTATCACTTTTGTTGCCTTTTAGTGTTTCTGCCACATTGTCAAACGTTTCCTTTTGAGTCCTTTTTTCACATTGGTAAACAAAAAAAGGCACTGAGAGGTGATCCAGTGAATAGAAAATGTGGGGCATGAGAGTCACGCCAGTTTTTGGTCAGCAACTGCTGAACATTCATCAAGGTGTGGGAATATGATTCATGCAAATTAACCATCATGAAATTGGCAAACGAGTTGAAAGAATCTCAAAAAAAAAAAAAAAATTCTCTGAAGCCAGAACCAGCCTTTCACAATCATGCTACCTGGGACACTGATGCCAATGGTTTCGTAGAACACTTCCCTATTGGAGGAAGCCTGTACTACAAGGTACCCACCCTCAACAAAATAATTCCTGGGTTTTTTGGATCCCCCCAAAGGGTCCATCACCCCATCCTGATAATAATATTATAGCTAGCACTTTTTAGCTTTGCTAACCACTCGATATTTAAGCATTTTTGTGCATTTTCACATTTAAATATCACAATATTACTTTGAGTTAGATATTATTAGTATCTTCATTTTGCAGATGGAGAAAATAAGGTTCAGGGGAGTTAGGCAGGGACCAGTGGTAAATGGTATATATGCAGCTCTTCCCAGAGACCAAGCTCTGTATGTGATGCTGTGTTTTCCCCACAGAATTGCCTTTGCTGGTTGCACATTCCCCTACTGCCCCAGTTGTCCAAGACACTTAATGTTCATATAGCTCTCAGTTAATTCACTGTGAAACTCCAAACACTGAGTTTGAACCAAGAGAGAAAATAAGTGACTGCAAATCTCATTAAAAACAATTTGATTTATAAACAATTAAGAATGTTGTACTTGGGAACCACTCTGCTTGGGCCCAAAACTTGACTTGCTCTTAACTCTTGTGTAAACATAAATAAATCACCTCATGTCTTGTGCCTCTCTATTGAAATAAAAATAACAACTAACTGAACTCATAATATTGTTGAGAGGATTCTGAATGCATATGCAAAGTCTCCAGAGCAATCTTGTCAGGTAGACAACATAGATAAAAATAACAGAACTGATAGACTGAAATATATGTATTTCCAGACATATCATGTTGAAAAATTTGCAAAATTTTCCAAATAATACTTAACAATTATAAAAATGTAAGAACTGATGAGATCATCCATGAACATCTTTCCAATTCAGCAATTTGTAACTCTATAGGTATTTAATGCACTAAAATATAAGATTAAGATGTTGGAATTGGCAGAATTTTGAATTATGTACTATTGCAATGATGAAATATAATATATGGTCTATAAACATTCCAATTTCATTGTAATATCTATTCCACATATCGATTAACACTCTTTTTCTTTATTTCTCATTAGGTGATCTTCTCATTCCTAAATAACACTGATGGAGAACCATACAGAACTGATACATTTCATCCTCTTAGGACTAACCACTGTCTCAGAGCTGCAGATCCCCCTCTTTATCACAGTCACTCTCATATACCTCATCAATGTGGTTGGAAACCTGGGGATGATCATTTTGATCCTCTGGGACTCTCGTCTCCACTCTCCTATGTACTTTTTCCTCAGTAACCTGTCTCTGGTGGACTTGTGTTACTCTTCAGCTGTCACTCCCACGGTCATGGATGGGCTCCTTACAGGAGACAAGATCATCTCCCACAATGCATGTGCTGCTCAGATGTTCTTTTTTGCAGCTTTTACCACTATGGAGAATTTCCTCTTGGCCTCAATGGCCTATGACCGCTATGCAGCTGTGTGTAAACCCCTGCATTACACCACCACCATGAGAACAAGTGTGTGTGCATGTCTGGTCATAAGCTGCTATGTTGGTGGTTTCCTGAATGCCTCGATCCACATTGGGGGAATATTTAGTCTCTCTTTCTGTATGTCCAATCTTGTCCATCACTTTTTCTGTGATGTTCCAGCAGTCATGGTTCTCTCTTGTTCTGATAGACATGTTAGTGAGCTGGTTCTTGTTTATGTTGTGAATTTCAATATATTCTTTGTTCTCTCAGTTATCTTGGTATCCTACATATTCATTATTGTCACCATCTTGAAGATACACTCAGCTTCAGGACTTCAGAAGACTGTATCCACCTGTGCTTCCCACCTCACTGCAGTTTCCATCTTCTATGGGACTATTATCTTCATGTACTTACAGCCCAGCTCCAGTCATTCCATGGACACAGACAAAATGGCATCTGTGTTCTACACTATGGTCAGCTCCATGCTGTACCCTATGGTCTACAGCCTGAGGAACAAGGAGGTAAAGAGTGCATTGCAGAGAGTTGTTGAGAAGGCAAAATTGTGAGATTGTGAGTTTAACATTGTGGAACCCATAATAGCAAAGTTTCATTCTTCTGAGATATTCTCCTTGTCTGAAATTACTTGGAGATTAGGTTCCTGAAATGATATCCTTACCTCTTCAAATGTCTGTTCTGTAGAAAAAAATAAATATTGTGTCCATTGTAATAATACCTAAGTGAGAATGCTAAGGAGAATTATAAGATATTTGGGGTTCTACTTGTCAAAAACTTTATAGAAAATGTTTGATTCATTCACTCATTCTACATTCAGTTCTTCTACCACACACCAGTATAAACATACATGTGAAACAGGAGTATAAATGAACCCATGAACATATTTATACATGTGCCTCATATGGGCAGATACATATAGGAGTGTAAAATTTACTAGGTAAATGGAATGTGGATAATGTTTGATAAAATTTATTCAAATAATTAATTGGGATATTAAAATATTAATTTATGTACAGCATTATTTATTTAATTGAATAAATGTTTTTAGAGTCTTAATTTGAGAATAAAAGTGATTTAATTTTAAATAAAAATACAGTCAGCTCTCCGAATCTCCATGTTACACATCCATGGAGTCAACCAACCATGAATACGTATTTTATTTGTAAAAAGTGAAATACATCCATGAAGAGTAGTACATATTTAAATATACAACATGATAACTATTTACATAGCATTTACATTGCATTAGGTATTATAAGTAGTGTAGAGAAGATTTGAAGTATATGAAGGATGTGCATTGGTTCTATGCAAAAATGATTGTATACTATGGAACAATTTTTGGATTTATAATCTGTTTCATTGATTATTGTGTCTGTTTTGTCTATACTCCATGGTGCTGATTACTATAAGCTACAGTAAGTCATGAAATGAGGTAATGTGCATGCTCCTACTTTGTTCTTCTTTTTTATGTTATCATCTCTATTTACTGATTTTGCTCTTCCTTGTCAGTTTAGGATCTGTGTGTCAATATTTACAAAAAGTTTACTTGGGTTGCAATTGTGATTGCATGGAATCTTCAGGACAGTCAACTAAAAATCTTCCAATTCATGACCATAGATTTTCTTTATACTAATTTAGGTTTAAAATTTTATATTCATCAGTAGTCTATTTTTTTCTGCACTTTTAAGACACATATCTTAAATGTGCTCAAAGAGTTCAATGAAATCTTGGACAAGAAACTAAAGGAACCTAGAAGAATGATGTTTCAAATTATAGTGAATATCAATAAATAAATAGAAATTATAGAAAGTAAGCAAATAGAAATCTGGAACAAGCCGGGCTCGGTGGCTCAGCCTGTAATCCCGCGCCTTTGGGAGGCTGAGGTGAGTGGATTGCCTGAGCCTGCGGATTTGAGACCTGCCTGGGCAGCGAGACCTCATCTCTACAATAAAATCACAAAATCAGCTGAGCATGGTAGTGCATGACTGTAATTCCGGCTACTTGGAAGGCTGAGGCAGAAGGATCGCCGGAGTCCAGCAGGTTGAGGCTGCGGTGGCCGGGAGCAGCCACTGCACTCCAGTCTGGGTGACAGAGTGAGACTTCCACTCAAAAAAAAAAAAAGAAATCTGGAACAGAAACCACGAAGAATAAGATAGAACATGGAAAGAAAAGGCTCAGATTACTTGATTTTCATATATTAGTGTATTTAACATTTCTAAAAGAACTTTCATGTTGTTTTTTCACAGAAGAATAGCAGCCCATGAAGCAGATAGAGAGGATTTTTCTCCTTGTGACTCAGGAAGATCAAGCCATGGCAGGCCTATAACCATCTGGCTATTACCAAAAATAGCATTATAACTGGTCCTCTGTTTTATAGTAAAATCTTATCCATGCCCTTACATCTTTGAATTCCTGGATCAAAAACTACCATTCGGGGGTCACTTTATACCAAAGAGTGTAAATAAAAGAGTTTGGACATGTTGTATGAGCTAAATTTTCACAGAGCATGAAGCTGGGATTCAAAGAATAGCGGGAATGTGCTCAAGGTCACATCCAAGTTGCTAGTCAGTTATACTTCCCTGTACAATCCAGGGAAGTCACTGGATAAACGTGTCCTTGCAATATACCTGGTGTAAATGCTCTCCTGCGTCTTCTAAATGGTAACATCATATCTATAAGCTGACACTTTTTTCATTAATCTCTTATCTTAATTATCCCACCTCTCTCTTTTTCTTTCTCTCTTCTTTCTCTCGTTTTCATTTCCATGTTCAATTCTTAAATTTTTTTTATTGTGTCATATGTTTTACCAAGTACTGTTACAATAGTATAATTTTTTATACTATTTATCATTTTATCCTTTTGCCAATATACAGATGCCCCTCAACTTATGAGTTTATATCCTGATAAACCTACATTAGAGACTGTCCTTGTTACCTCTGCTAAAATGGTATCAGCAGAAATTATAATACTAGTAGTATCAATAGTAATAATAGTAGTAGCAAAAATTAACGAGTGTTGTGATACAGACATTGCTCTAACCATTCTCCATGTTTTAATTCTGTACATTCAACTTCTTTAAATGAAGGAAACTTTCAGTACTCTATAAAGATGATAAAAGTGATATAGAGGAAACTTAACTTTACCCAAAAGTTTTAGAAGAATGGTATGTTAGTCAGAATTCTTCAGAGAAACAGAACCAATGAAAGATGATAATAGAGAGAGAGAGAGAGAGAGATATTAAAAGAGATTCATTAATCTCTTAATTAATTCATGGAGACTGAGAAGTCCCAAGATCTGCCATTTAAATTGGATGCCTTGGAACATTCCAAACCGAAAGGCCTGAAAACCAGGAGTGTCAATGATATAAGTCCCAGTTCAAGTCTGAAGACCTAAAGACAAGGTGTACCAATGTCCCACGGCAGGAAAATATGAATATCCCAGCTCAGGTAGAACAAATTTAAATTTATCCTTCCTCTGCGTTTTGGTTCTTTTCTGGGTCCTAACAGATTGGATGATGGCCATCTGCATTAGTGAGGGTGATCTTCCTCACTCAGTTTACTAATTCAAATGCTGATTTTTTTCTGGAAACAACCTCACAAACATGCCCATATATAACAGCTATCTGACTGTTCCTTAGCTCAGTCAGGTTGATACATGAAATTAATCACACTGATAGTAAAGATTACAGACTTTATACCATTCTGCATAATTTCTAATTCTATTTAATAGCTGGAAATAAGGGAAATAAAAATAAGTAATTATTCCCCTTTTCTGCATCCTCACCAGCATCTGTTATTTTTTGAGTTTTAATAATCACCATTTAGCTGGGAGTAGTGGCTCATGCCTGTAATCTCTCCACTTTAGGAGGCTGAAGTGAGACCCCAGGGTTTGAGTTCAGGCTGGGCAACACGGTGAAACTTCGTCTCTATAAAATAATCAAAAAATTAACTGGGCGTGGTAGCACATGCTTGTGGTTCCAGCTACTTGGAAGACTGAGGCAAAAAGATTGCCTGAGCCCAGTAAGTCAAAGCTGCAGTGGCTATGAATGTGCCACTGCACTCCAGCCCAGGCAACAAATAAAAAATATATACTAATAACAACAGTAATTTATGTGAGATAATGTCCCATTGTGGACTTGATTTGCATTTCCCTGATGATTAGTGATGCTGAAATTTTTCAAAATATACATTTTGTCATTTGTATGTCTTGTTTTGAGAAATGTCTCTTCAGATGACTTGCTCATTTTTTAAAAATTTTTATTTTTAAAGAAGTGGGGTACAATTCAGGGTTAGGTATACAAATGTTCATTATGCAGGTACCCTTGTTGATGAGGTGTGCTCCCCTCCCCTGGCAGTTTCCCTCAACTGCTAATCCCACCTCCCTTTCCCTGGCAGTTTCCCTCAATTGCCAATCCCACCCTTCCCCCCTCCCCTTGCAGTTTCCCTCAACTGCCAACCTCACCCACCCTCCCCTGGCTGGTTCCCACCACTACCAATCCCTTTCTTATAGTATTATGATAATTGTTCAGGGTCCACTTATGAGTGAGAACATATGATGCTTTGTCCTTTGTTTCTGTGATAGAACACTGAGTATGATCGTCTCTAAATCCAGCCAAGTTGCTGCAAAGTCCATAGTCCTTCTTTGTGGCTGTATAATATTTACTGTGTATCTATACCACTTTTTTATCCAGTCCAGTTTCGATGGGCAGCACAGTTGGTTCCATGTTTTTGCTATTGTGAATGGTGCTACTTGCCCTTTTTAAATCAGACACTGCTGATGTTAATATAAATTTGTGCAGCTACTAAACAGTTTGGAGTTTCCTAAAAAAACCTAAAAATAGAACTGTCGTGTGATCTAGCTATCTCACTGCTAGATATATATCCGAAAGAAAGGAAATCTGTATGTCAAAGAGATTATATATATGTACTCCCATGTTTATTGCAGCACTATTCACAATAGCTGAGATATGGAATCAACCTAAATGTCCTTTAATTAATAAATGAAAGAAGAAAATATGGTATGTGTATACACAAGGAAATATTGTTCAGCAATAAAAAGAATTAAATCCTGCTATTTGCAGAAGCATGAATAGAACTGAATAACATTATGTTAAGTAAGATAAGCCAGACACAGAAAGACAAATATCACATGTTCTCACTCATATGTGGAAGCTGAAAGAAAAATCTTATGGAGCTACAGAGTAGATTGATGGTTTTTGGAGACTAATAAGTGTAAGGGGAGCCAGGCTCGGTGGCTCAGCCTGTAATCCCGTGCTTTGGGAGGCCGAGGTGAGTGGATTGCCTGAGCCCGCGGGCTCGAGACCCGCCTGGACAACTTGGTGAGACCTCATCTCTACAATAAATCAAAAAATTAGCCGGGCATGGTAGTGCACGCCTGTAGTTCCAGCTACTGGAAGGCTGAGGCAGAAGGATCACCAGAGCCCAGCAGGTCGAGGCTGCAGTGGCTGGGAGCGGCCACTGCACTCCAGCCTCGGTGACAGAGTGAGATTCCAACTCAAAAAAAAAAAGAAGTGTAAGGGGGAGGAGGAGAT